GACTGGCTCATTTAAATTTAATAGTTGAAAGATATTTCAMAATTTGTCAAATAGCTGTTCCCGAGTTTCAAATTGTTATTCCACCCTCATAAAGCTCGCAAAATCCAAAGCTACCATTAGTCAAAATCTAAAATAATTTTTGGCATGCATAGACTTATGAGTACCACAACCATCACAACATTGGTTCTCAGCACATTTTATCATTTGATAAGCTATGGATAGTGATTAGGTTTAAACAACAATTAAATTACARTATTGCTTTTATAGTTTAGGTTAGGTTTTTCGGTTATGCTAACCGGCTATCATACCATACATATGTACGTACCTAGAAATGCTTAGTAATGCCAGTTTTTGTAATTTAATTTAAAAACCCCAATAAAAAATAAATAATATGTACATATTAAAGAAATCAAATCATGTATTTTATTTGAGCGTTGCCACCCGACAGAATGTATCATGATTTTTTATATTTGTARCGCTTATCAACGCACATTTATTCATTTAAATTTAAATGAGATTTTCTTTTTCGTTTTTTCCAAAAATAAAAATAAATTTACACCGCAACAGCGTTAGCAKCATTTCTCACATCATCTCAATCATCAACTGCCTCCTCATTATCATTAAGCCACAAATTTAACGCCGTCGCTGTCGCCGCCGTCAAGTCACGATCAACATATTTCGTTGGGACTCAAAGGCAAAAGCAACAGCAACAACGCAGCGACAGCAACAAAAATTACAATTCGACCGCTAGACAGTGCAACATGACAAATACACCAAAAAGAATACGACTTGTAATTGCAAAAATAACAACAATTACAGTTAGGTATAACGGCAACAACAACAACAACAACAACAAGGTGACAACATGCAAAATCAATGCAATAAACAAAAACAAAACGAAATCAACGACAACAACAACAAGAGTTGTGAATGAGTACGCAAGCGCAACTCGCATCGTTGGAATTCCGGTTGATTTTCAATACTCACATATACACATGCATGCGTAATTACTTATAAAATGCCGTATAATTACATACGTAAGTACTTAAAATATATTATTACAAACCTATACGTATGTATATTAAAGTAGTAGTTACAACAATTTGACGGCGATTAAGCACAATTCATTTGTCAATGCGCGCTTGCGTTGTGGGTGCTTGCGGATGACGCTCAATGAATGGCAGAGACGTGKAGTTAACGCGATAATGACAATGTGYTTTTTCACTATGTGTATACATATGTATGTAWGTATGAAAAACAWCTWAYGTTTTTTGGGGAAAACGAAATATTTGGACAACATAAAAATAAATAAGTCAAACWTAAATAGGCATCAGTAACGTATGAGCGCGCTTCTTCTGAATAGTTAAAATGCAGAAATACRTGATATTTGCTTTCAAATCTGGTTCAATATGCTTATTTAGTTTAGAATTTTAGTTCGATTTGATTTTGAAAACTGTTCTCGAGTGTACTTTAAAGCTTGTTATGTCAAGTTCTACTTGATTTATGACAATTCCTTTTAGCCCTAACTTCAATTTACAAAATAATAAACTGTTCCCATTCTTCCAAGTGTTCCCAACCTGAGTGTTTTAAATAAAGTTTCATCTACTTGCTCATACAGTCAATTCTACTGCTTCACTAAAGTGTTCTCAGTATAAAAACTGTTCCCATTTCATGTTAWTTCATCATATAATGAAGCATTCATTAGTTTACACAAGTTTCAAATAATTTTAATATTTTTTACATCCCGCTAGTAAAATAGTCAAATTTACTTTTTTGTTAAAGCTTTACCAGCAAGAAAACTGTTCCCACTTTGTCTTCGCTTTCCTTTAGTTTCGATTTATAAAATAATAAACTGTTCCCACTTTCCCAAGTGCTCCCCACCTGATTTCAAGTAATTTAAAGAACTTTCCGTTTTCAAAGAAAACTAATACCTAAA